TGGGGAGGAGATCTCTGGCTTCCCTTCTGCTCAGAGGGCCGGAAGCTCTCTGAGGGAGAGGGAGCTGTGAGTTAGCACAGGAAGCAGCACAAACCCAAAGAGTAAAGTAATTTCCCTTACCTTGCTTACAGGGGTCTCCCTGAAGCAACCCCTGGGGCAGAAGCACCATTAGATCCAGTCCGTGCACGAGGATCCCTTGCTGGTCACTGCAGCTTATCCTGAGTCACTCCCAGATGTGAGATCCCTGGATGAATTTCCTCCTCACTAATGTTTTGTTTTCACACAGTAGCCATTGCGTAACTCTTCCTCTGAAAGGTCTGAGTGATTGAGCAGGGTCTCTTAAAGGGGCTGTGTGTAACTCAAACTTCTACAGGTATAGAAGTTGTAATTCCATCCCTGGAACTGTCCAAGGGCAGGTTGGATGGGGCTTGGAGCAACCTGGGCTAGTGGAAGGTGTCCCTGCCCATGGCAGGGGGTGGAACTGGATGATCTTTCAGGTCCCTTCCAACCCAAACCATTCCATGATTCATTTGCCATTCCTGTTTAACAGCAAAACCCATCCATGTGAAAATTCCAAAACTCAAAACACAAGTTTTTACCTGAATACTTAACTTTATTAGTCTCTCTTAGAACACTGTACAAAGGAGTAATAAAAATATTCACACTTTATTTTAGAAAGTTCTCTACTTGAGACTCCTGTATCCACAGCAAAAAGAAGGGCTACTGGGAAAAAAAACCCTAAAACTTTGTACAGAACATTCCTTTAAAAAAACCTCCCAATTAATTCAGCTCATTAAACTGATCCAGGGAGGATACAGATACACCAACACTCGCATGCTTAAGAGCTATTATAGGCAATGATAAAGCAACATAAGTTACAATGAGGAATATTAATGTGTTAACCCACTGCTGTCCCCTCCTCGAGGGCCAGTACCGAGCTTCTAAAAACAACCCAAAATTCAAAAATAAAAGTACTCGGGAATGAAGTAGCCCTAAATCTTGTTTATTTTAAAGGCTTTTTCCTGCGAAGGTTTGCACTGTTTGCCACCCTGGTAGCTCTGTTAGATGAATCCCAAGACAGGATCCCTAATTCAGGAGCATCAGGCTGGAAAAACTTGCTGGTTTTCCCACTGTCCTGGAGCAGGGACCGCTGTACCCTGTGGATACGTGCGTGGTGCTGACAGTGGCTTAGGAGGCTTGGCCCAGTGCAAGGCTGCTGCCAGTTCCTGAGAAGGGTCCCAGGCTTTCAAAAGCTTTTCTCTTTCATTGCAGAACCAAAAGGAAAAGCTGTTGAAGTACCTGCTCACCAGGAATTGTTCCTCCATCACAGGGTGGAGCCCACCTTGATCTCTCCAGGTAAGATTTGTCCTGCTTATGATACAGGACAAGTTTCATATGAAAATCTATCAGATCAGAATCCCACTTAAATGTGATCAGAATCCCATTTAAAATCAGCAATGGTCACTTATCTCCTCCACACAGGTACCTGGGGAAAACTCCACTTTAAAAGGAGTTCTGCTCATGTTTGGGTTCTCCACCTAAAATATGACTTCATCCCTGATCTGTCACCTCTAAGGACACGTCTGACAACTCCTCAGCCTGCCCATGCTGTCCTTTCACTTCAGACTCTCTCAGATACCCCTAACAATATGGTTTAATTACAATTAACTTATTGCTTTTCTATTTTTGATTAATCCTGACACCTACCCTTAAGCTGGGATCTTAAGGAAGATTCTGCCAGGTTTGTAATTGTTCAAATACTTATTAATTGTATGTAGACACTTAACACAATATAAGAAGAAATCTTTCTTCAACTTGCTTCTTTCCATATTCTTCCTGTTTCCACTTATGTTTCCCTTGATTGGACTGAGTCCAAGTTAACTGCAGTTATTCCATGGAAAAATGATGCCTGTGTTGTAAAGACTGTCACTGTCACATAACCCCTAGGTAGGCTGTTTTTAATCATTTGTGTGAAGCAGAGAAGTCAGAAAAGTTTACTTCTGCTGTTAGGCAAAACCTTAATTATAAATTTTGGACTTCAGGCTTTAAAACCTGCTTGTTTGCAAAGTTTATAATCCAATTCTGGTTCACAGTTATATTTAATTTAACAAAACAGAGTCAGATGTCCTTAGTGTCAGTGACCAGCACGAGTGCTCAGACTCTCAGCTGTTGTAGTGCCTTCAGGGAGGCTGTGGGAATTGCTCTATCTCATCAAGAAAAGCTGATCCCTTCAATTTACAATTATTCTAAAATTATCAAACCTGCCTTCACTCTGTGATGTGCATATGCTTAGAACTACCCAGCATATGTCTGCCTGTGAGGAGACATGTCTGTAAGCACCTAGAGACTCTTTCTGTTGCCAAAAAAAGTGCTGTTTCTCCCCTTTTTTTCTACCAAAACAATTCATTTTCTTCCCTCTGGAGATGGAAGCTGTGCCTGGGCAGACACTCAGGTCTGTTCAGCACCACACAGTATTTTGGGTACAGCCTCAGCCACCCTGCCAGGACCTGCTCCCCAGAGCAGCCATTCCCGCAGGGATACTGCTCATTCCTGTGCCATTTCCAAGCTGATTGATGAAATATCTCTATTTTGATAACAATTATCATTGTCTAGTAGCTTAAAGAGCCGATTAGGGTAGAGAGTACCTTAACTAAAGCAGCAGTCCTTATGTCCTGGGGGTTACATTTAAGGTTTAACCTCCCCATCAGGGAAATTTCATGTCTGTCAACGCCCTGGGGTCTCCAGCCAGACTCTTTTCTCTTTCTACCTTCTTGAAAACATCCTTTTCACTTATATTTCCACTTTTCAAACATATTAGGGAGTGATTCTCCCTGCATTCCAGCAGCCCTCTGAGGTACACTGAATGTTTTCCCTGCCCCGTAGCAGTCCCATAGGAAGTCTGAGAGAGAGAAGTGAAGCAGCTTCCCTAAAATTATGCACAGAGTAACAGATTTTAGGTGCAAACCTGAAATTCCCCAATCCATGTCCTATGCTCAGACCATCCAACAACTCAACGCTCTCCACCACGGCCTCTAAAGCTGGAATTGCTACTGCAGGAACAAAAATAGCAGATTTAAAAGGTTTTATCCCATTGTCAGAAAGATGAGACAATATAAGCACTAAGACAACAGAAATACAGGTTTTCATGGGGTTTCAGGGGAAGTATGAGAGAAAATATTCCACCTGGAACATAAACCAAAAGAAAATGGGATTATTTTGAACAGGAAAAAGCTGTCTCAGCCAGGAAATCTGAACCTGTCTGAGGTGGTAATTTGAGGGAAAAGGATTGAGTTTGTTCCTCTGTGAAATAATCTCTTATCAGTGACCCACTGAATCCCTCTGCTGGTCAATTCATCTGCTGCTGCTGCTGCTCCTCACGTGGCCCTTGGGTGTGGAGCTGAGGGACAGATTTCCAGGTAAGCCAGAAGAAATCCAACCCTCACTTCCCTCGACTCCATGAGTAACTGGAGAACTGACAAATCCCAGTCACACGGACTTAACCAAGGAGCTGGACTGAGGAGAAAAATTCCAATTAAAGTCAAGGATGGCTGTGTGCTTGATTAGAGCAATCAGGCCTCCACCTCGTTGGGCCTGTACCTGTCCAGTGTGAGCCTCTCCCACACCCCTCCATGTCCATGTCCCAAGGAGCTCGGTGGCATTTGTTGTCAATCATTAAATCATCCACCCCCAGCCCTTGATCCAAATGCCCCCCGAGCCCTCCTGTGCTTAAAAACCAGCAGTGGGGAGAGGAGTTACCTGGACAGATTTGGGTATAAACTGAAAATAATGAGCATGATTTGGGATCTATCCACCTTTTCCCCGGACCACATGGATGGTGCTGTAGGAAAGCAGAAGCTTTGTCAAACTGCAGGTTGTTCCTTCCTGTGCTGTTTTTAGGAAAAGAACTTCCCTTCTCAGTGGTGTCAAAGACTGCAGAATAAAAATCTGTCGTTCAGATCTGCCTAAAACTGGAACTCAGACCCCAAAACAATCCAGTCCTGGGAAAGTCTGGCTGTATCCCTTTGGATTTCCCCCATGTACTGCTCAAAGCACCCGGCTTCAGGAAGGGAAAGGTATTTTAAAGTGCATTTACCACAGCAATAGTACCAGCACTAAAAGCTTTTCCCCTCACCCCTGTCCTTGTCATTCCATGTCTGGGACAGATGAGACTCTTCCCAGAATTCATCCTTGTTGTACCTCCAAGTCTCGGTGGTTTTGCATCTACTGGTGACACCGGGATAAGAGAAATCCGGTGTCGCGTGTCCTGCTCCGCACTAAACTCTACTCTGGAGCTGGTTTGGATTTATTGGGCACGAGGATCCAGCATGCGGAATGTGTCTGTTGGGATCTGCCTTTGAACAGCCACTCCGAAATCACATCCCAGTCTGCGTGGGAAGAGGAAACAGGGCTGGGGAGAAGGAATTCCCCCTTTCCCTGCTCCTCCGCCGTCCGCTCCAGCCACGCCGCTCAGTACTTGTTGATCCCAAAGATCCGGACTCCATGGAACTGAGGCAGTTTGGGGATCAGGACGCTCATGAGGGAGATGGTGTTGATGATGAAGTGTATCCGGTCGTACTTGGTGTAAAAGCTGGTTAGAAAATACCTGGAAAAGAAGGGTGGGAACAAAGAGAGAGAGAAGCAAACTGAGCTGTGGCATTCCGCGTGCCTGTGTCCCAGGACAGAACACCGGTGGGTACTGGGACACGAGGCAGCTGGGCCAGCTGGGAATACTCACAGGACGATGGGCATGATGGTGAGGAACTTGCGGGAGGCGGTGAACTGGACTCCGTAATCCATCTGCTCCCAGTGCGTGAGCAGCCGGGCCTTGCCCTGGTCCGGGGTCTCGAAGGGGGTTCCCTTCACGGTGTGCAGGAAGATGTACATGCTCTGCAGGACACACAGCGTGAGGCTCGCGGGGGCCCTGCATCCCAAAATCCCAGCCGGGGGAGCGCATTCGGGAGCTTGCAGCCCCGCGCCGTTCCACTAGAGGGACGTGGCGCTGCTGGAAAACCGGGAGCGGCCACGGAAGCAGGGGAAGGAGAGTCGGGAAAGGCCGGGGCAGCTCGGCTGCTCCACGTGAGGCCTCTCCCTCGGCTCCTGGGTGTGAGCCAAGGAGGTGGTGACAAGATTACAGCCCTGGGATCTCTGGGATCCGGAGATTAGCACCCGCCCGCCGTGGCGCGGCAGAAACCTCCGGAAAACGTGCTGGGAGAGGGTCTGTCACCCCCCGATTACCAGGGGAACACAAGCCACAGACAAACAGTGTCTGTCTACATCACAGCTCCTCGGGACAGACACTCCTGGCACTTAAACTCCTCTTTTTGTTCCCAGGACCTAAAGCTGCCAGAGAAGGGGGATGAGGAGCCGGCCGCTCGTGAGCCGAGTGCTGAGCAGCTCCAGTTTGGGGGTATGTGGAGGTTTTATCACCAGAGCAGCTCCAGTTTGGCAGTTTGGGGTTGGTTTTATCCCCCACTAGGAATAACTTTAGCATGACGGTTCCCAGTCCGTGTCATTTTTGTCTCTGGAATATTCCTAGGCAGAGATGTTATTTAAAATTAAGGATATAGAATCAACTGCTGCATCTGTGAAGAGTTTTGTCCCCTGTGCCTGTGAGAACCTGTCTGGGGACCTGATCCTTAGAGAAGGGAATCAGTTCCTGGACTAACCTTTTACTTTAAGCAGAAAAACATCCTGGATTTAATCTTGTTTCCTTAACTCTGACGAGGCCAATTCAGGTTTTACCACCCCAAGTGACACCTTGGCAGTGTCTGGGGCCTGTCCCAGACTCCTCTGGGGACACAAAGAAGGACTTGCCCTGAAGGCAAATGAATCCCCTCGGAGCAGCCTCACCAGGTGTTGCTGCCTCACCTGTACCTGGGCTAGATTTAAATCCATGACCCAGAGGCACCGGTGCAGGCTGAGGGTTGCAGGTTGAGCAACTCCCCCAGCACCTTTGGAAACACAAAGGACCCGTTCCAACAGGGATCTCAGCGAGTTGCTCAGAGGCTCCCCCAGAGGCTTCCCATGCCCTGGGCCGCGCCGCCCCCCTTACCAGGTTGTGGATGATGTTGGTGAGGGTCCAGACCACGGGGACGCTGAAGAAGGGGATGCTGAGCAGCACGACGTGCAGCAGCCCGATGCCCAGCACGTAGGACAGCCAGATGCCGCGGCTGTTCATGACGCGGGTGTTGGGGTTCACCTCGCTGTGCGCCGTCCCCACGTTCATCCTGCCCTCGTGTCCCACGGGAGCCCCTGCAACACACACCCAGGTCAGAGCTCGGGCCCGAAGCGCTCGGCACGGCCGAGCAGTGGCTGGTTGTCAGGCAAAACCCCAAATCTGCCGTGTGCTATAAAAATCCCAAGGCAGCTCACTCCTCTGCCCCTCGCTACTGCCGTTCCCAGAGCTGACGTCGCCGAATCCGGGAGTGGTTCAGATTTGGGAATAATGTGTGGGAAGCCTGTCTGTGGCAGAAGCTACTTGTGATTTGAGATGTTTTCCTGGAGCCAAGGTGTTGAGGTTCAATCCCACGTTTGCCTGACAAGACTCAAACCAATACTTTTAAGCACTTTTAAATCCTCGTCATGGTGTTAATCATGGAAACACGTGGCACAGGAAGCTTCCTGAGTGTTTATGGAGCCAGCAGGCCTTAAACTTGGGGAGGGAACGCAGTATCTGCTGAGGAAAGGCTCTGTATCAACAGATCTCCTAATAAATTTTAACTAAATTAACAGGGTTCTGCACAGCTCCGGAGGTTTGCTGGTCTCCTGCTCTGGCTCACTTGTTTTGCCTTTGGATTTAAGTCTTACAGAGAGGGAAAAAAGAGGAACAAAACAATTTCCCCCCAGGGAAGGAATGAGGTTCTTCTTGAGGAATGTAAAAAGGGAGAGATAACAGGGCAAAGTGCCTTGGGAGGATATTTCAGGAGGAAGAGCTGTGGAGGAGGTGGCTCTTCCCCTACCTGGAAAGAACAGCTGCCATGTAGGAGGAGCACAGAGATGGTTTTCTGGACAATGCCAGGAAGGAGAGGAAGCAAGAGAGTGTCACCCTCTTGGAGCAAGTCCTTGGAGTGGTGTCCCACAGACAGTGAAGGTATTGAGTGGGCTTTTGGACTGACAGTGCCAGTGGCAGCAGGTATCCATCAGCTCCCAGGCCAGCTGGGAGCAGGACAGCTCTGGTTTACTGGTTTCCAGGGATTACAGGGAACAGCACAAACTAAACCCACTATAAAGCTGAAAGTCTTCACACCGAGATCAGGGAAATTCTCGTGTAAAATCATCTCTGTGTCCCGTGGAAGCGGAGTTTGATGGGATGATCCGGTTCGTCCTCCTTGGATCCGGGACCCCACGGCGAGGGCCGTTTCCTGCCGTCTGGCCTCGTGGCTCTGCTGTTGGTTCCCACAGCTGGAAGCCGTGTTGCTGTTCCCTCCAGCTCTCCAGGGGCGAGCCCGAGCCAGCTCCAACATCACACTCTCCTCACTGCCAGCTGTTCCCAGCTCCCTCCTGGAGCACCAGGCCTGGCTTGTCTCAGGAGCTGGCGCAGGCCCCGCTCCTGCCCAGGGCTGGGGCTCGGAGCCAGCCTCCCCTCCACAGCTCCTGGGATGCTCCATGGAACTTCCAAACCTCCTCCAACTGCACAGGCAGCCGTTGCTGCAGATTCTCACCTCCCTCTATCAGGGGGCTCATATCTGGGGAAGGATTTTGTTTCTAGGGAAGAAGCTGCAGCTCTGCAGGGTGCTCGTTTCCTTGTTGCCCATCTCCTGGATCACTGGCCTGAGGATCTTCCTGACAACAGCCCAAAGTGTGGTCTGGAAGCAAGACTGGGAGCCAGAGCTCAGCACTTCACCCCTGGCAGGGGGAACAGCTCCAGCCTGAACCTGCTGCGATTCCCAAGGGCTCTCAGAAGGAAAACTGGGGGTTGTGGTGAAGCAGAAATGAGTCAAAAAGAGTCAGATTGTTACAACAACAACGAAAAGCAAAACACCCTGTGGAACATGTAAACAGGAGTGCTGAGTGCCAGACATGGGAAACAGTTCTCCTGGATGTTGGGAGAACACTGTCCAGTCCTGGGAGGAGCTGGAGAGCATCCAGGGAGAGCAGAGAGAATGAGCAGAGGTGTAGGAAAAACATGACCTGCAAGGGCAGCTGGAAGGAAACGGGTTTGTTTAGTCTGGAGGAGGCTGGAGAGAGGCGTGAGGAACAGTCCGACTCTCCACAAAGAGCTGTGCCTGTGGGATTCCAGCTGTGCCTGTGGGACTCCAGCTGTGCCTGTGGGATTCCAGCTGTGCCTGTGGGATTCCAGCTGTGCAGCAGGAGGAACCACACGGCTGGGGCTCAGAGTGACATGGAGGTGCAGGAGGAGGGATGCTGGAAGAGACTGCCCATGGAAAAGGATCTGTGCTCTCAATGGAGGCCTTAAAATCTAGTTTCATCAAGGGTTAAAAACCTCAGATTCCTCTCTGGTTGCCCAGGAAGCCTCTCCAGGAGCCTCTCCTAAAGTGATGCCTTTATCCAAGGCCACAGAAGCTCCTGAAGCCGGAGGTGCACGTGGCCTGTGCCGTGGAATTTCCAACCACTAGTCTAACTTCCAAAACCTAAGGACCAAATTGGACTTGGTCCCTTCTGCAAACGAGGGCAGCTGCAGACCCACAGTGGGGTGGGAAGGGCCCAACTTGGAAGCTGCATGTGAAGCAATTCCTGTCCTCCTGCCTCAGTTTCTCTTCCTTGTAAAATTAAGGAATACAGGGGTGGAATGCTGGAACACAGGAGAGGTTAACTCATTCTTGCAGGAGATAAGGAGATGCCAAACATTCAGTGCTCCATGAGGGTAATTCTGTGTCTCCAAACTCTATCCTTCCCCATCTTAAATGTTTCACCTGCAGATCTTTCCAGCCCAGCTCTGCCCTGGGCTGTGCAGCCCTTGCCCCAGTTCTGCCAAATTTCAGATTGCACAAGCCTGGCTGAGGGCTGAGGGCATTGTCCAGAGCTCCCTACCCCCACCCTCATCCCATGTTTGCTTTCTGTTTCCACAGCAGGATTTGTTCACCTGCAGGAAAACAAGGCACAGCCCCCCATGGGAGGGACTCCAGCCCCTCCTTCCTGGAGCAGCTGCTGCCAGGCTCTGCTTTCCCACTCTTTTTTGGGACAGAAAAGCCTGACTGTTGCACCAGACGGAGGGTGAAGGTCAGGGCTGTGCTGACATTGGACACTGGCCATCCAAGGAGGGGAAAAGTCAGAGCTGTGGCCAGTGGCAAAGGGCACAGTGTGATGCCAGAGCCGAGCCCTCCCTCTGCTCCATCTTTCCCGTGTCCTACTCCCTGTCCAGGTGCAGCTTCTTCCCCACCTTTGCCCCCAGAGGAGCGTGATCACCATGTGTTCCTATCCCCTTGCTTAACACTTGGACTTGATGACCTTAAAGGCCCTTTCCACTCTAAATAAGCGATCCTATAACTTGGCAGGGCTGTCACTCTTCCCCAGGGATTGCAGGATCGTGCTCTGATCCCAGCACTCCACTGCAGGACCTTCACCCGGGCTGGAGAGGTAAAGAGGGCTCAGGTCTTGATCTCCCCAGTGTTCCCAGGTTGCTGGTGGTGATGATCCCACGGATCAGATCCCGATCTCTAGCAGCAACAGCAATCCTCATCTCCCAAACAAATCCTTTAAACCCTTCTTTGCTGATGGCATCGGAGTTTGAGTGGAGGGCACTGGTGAACTGGGCTGTGCTGGGAAAAGGCTGCTGGGTGGGACTGGAAACACAACGCCCCGGAGCTGCGTTGGACTCGTCTGAGCCCCAGCGCTGCCCGGTCCCTCCTGGGGGTCCCGGGGCTGGCAGAGCCCGGGGGGGGACACGGGGACGCGGACAGGGATGAGCCGCCCCGACCGGGGGCGGGGGCTCTGCCCATGTCAGCCTGTTCTCCTGGATTTAACGGGAAATCTTGGACCCGCAGGGAAGGCCGAGGCTGGGCTCCTCCGGGTCCGGACTCCTCTTCCCTCCCCGTTTCCCCGGGCCGGGCCGGTGCCCCGGGGGGCTGTGGCAGAACCCGTTCCGGGCCGGGCTGTGGCACAGCGCGACCCCCGCCCTGGGGGACCCCCCCACTCCCACCCCGCCGAGTCCCAGCTCCCTCCCAGCACCCGCTTCTCTCTTTTGGGGTGTTTTCCTCTCGGGCCGGGCCCAAGCGAGACATTTCCCCCCGGCCCCGCCGCGGGGCTCGGCCCCCGCGGAACGCAGGGAGGGCTGAGCCCCCCGGCCCGTCCCCGGCCCGCACTCACCGCTCCCGCACGGCCCGGCCCGGCTCGGCTCGGCTCGGCGGGGCCGGCGCTCGCTCCGCCGCTCTCCCGCTGCGCTCCCGGTGCGCTCCCGGCGGCCCCTCGGCCCGCCCCGCCGCGGAACGCCGGGAGCTGTAGTCCGGCAGCGCCGGCAGAGGCGGGGCCGCCGCGGGAACCGCCGGGAAAGCGGCTGGAGCGCCGCACGTGGAGCCCCAGACCCGGCTGGGTGCCCGGGGAGGGTGGGCAAACACCCCTCCGGCCGCCGTCCTCAAACGGAGGGTGGGGGGGACACTGGAGCAGCTTCTCCCAGCCACGCTGGAGCAGCTGTGGCTGCCCCATCCCTGGGAGTGTCCAAGGCCAGGTTGGACGGGGCTTGGAGCAACCTGGGCTAGTGGAAGGTGTCCCTGCCCATGGCTGGGGGTGCAAATGGGGGCTTTTTAAGGTCCCTTCCCACCCAAACCACTCTGATTCCACGACTCCATGAAAATCCCGGCAGCAGTGCTGTGCAGGCCGGCAGCGCTGCGGGACACCCGGCCAAGGTCAGGGCTGGGAGCGAGCGCAGGATTCCAGCGCTGGAGCGCGGGGAGGAGACCATCTGGCCACGCTTTTGTTTGCACAACCATCAGAGCTTGTCGCGTGGGGCTGGCACGGCCCCCAGGGGCCGCAGCCATCTGTGCAGGGCTCGTGTGTGCCCACTGGCTCTGCCAGCACAGTGGCCACTGTGGGCTGCAAACTCCCTGCCCGGAGCTGCCCTGGGGTCCCGGGCCGAGCCCCCGAGCTGAACCCTGGCAGTGGTGGCTGCCTACCCTGCACATGTGGCTCTGCCGGTGCCACTCAGAGCCCCCTGGCCTGGCACAGACACTTCCAGCCCCCTAGTCACGTGGCACAGTGGGTTTGGTGTTGGCCCGAGTGGGTTCCCGGCGAGATCGGGGTTCCCTGGGTGCCCCTGGGCCTCCCTGGGGGGTCCCAGCTGAGCTGCACGTCCTGCCCCTGTCTGTGTCCTTCTGGCCTTGGCTCCAGCTGCACATCCAGCTCTCGGCATGGCGAGGGCATGGAGACCCTACCAGCTGCCAGGGCCGGGACTGCCAGGGTGTCACACGCTGGCACCGCGCTGCTGGCAGGGCACAGGGTCACTTCCCTGAGCCAGGGCTTGGCAGTGTCTGTTTGCAGAGGCCTTTGGGCACAGAGGGACACACACACACGGGTAAAGCAGATGAAGGGCCACTGACGGGTGGTGTGGCTGCCACCCTGAGGAGCCCTGTCCCTGCCCGGCTCCTCCGGGGTGTCCTCATGGCAGGGCACGGTGTGGGGATGCCGGTGTGCGGAGGCGGGGGATCCCACGGGATCCGGCCCTGCTTTGCAGGAGATCCACGCACGCACAGCAGGCTCTATTTTTATCCCGCTCCTGCCTGACTGAGCAGCTCCCTGCGCGGTGACATCTAATTTAGCAGCTTCCCCGCACCCCGCTGGCTCCGCACGTGAGGGGGAAGCACAATGCAGCAGCTATTTTTAAACGCCCATAAATATTCATCCCTCTCCGCGATGCAGCAGCCGCCGCTGCCGGTGCGAACGCGGGGGGGACCCGCTCCCCGGGCTCCCCACACCGCGTCCACTGCCCAGGGAACGCCAGCACCGGGGGCGGGGGGTTCCCGGGGGATCCGGCCCCAACCCGCTCACCGGCAGCTGCACCCGCGTTCCCCCCGTGCTCGGGGGGCTGCTCCCGTGTGGATTCCCAGGCCTCACTCGCTCTCTCCCGGTGCCGGGCCGTGCTCAGCTCCCGCTCTCCCGGCTGCCGGTCCCACTGCCCGGTCGATGCTGGTTATATTTAGCTCCGTGGTGGCAGCGAGGAGCCGGTTCTGGCTATTTTTAGCCATCCTGCGGTGGGGAGGGTCCGTGTGGGTCGTGCTGCACTGCAGGGTTTGGGCTGGTGGGTGTCATATCCTCCATGTGGGACCCCTTTGGAGCTGCTCCTGCTCCCGTGTCTGACCTGCAGCTGGAGTCACCCACCCCCTCTTTGGGTTCCAGCTCAAGCCCCCCGAGCTCCTGCCCGTCCCCTCGTCCCCGTGTCTGTGACACTGGAGCTGGCACTGCGCTGCCACATCCCAGCACGGCTCCTACTCCGTGCACGGCTCCCGGTGGCACTGGGAATGGTGACGGGCAGCATGGGGCTGCTCTGCTCCCCAGTGAAATGGGGAGATGCCAGTGGAGTGCCAGAGAGCACCGACTGTGGCTGCCGGCTGCTGCCTGCCGGGGTCCGGCCGTGTCCCGGGACAGCCCTGCCCGGCGAGCCCAGCACCGCTCCGGCGTTGGGTTTGGCTCGGGTCATGGAATCATCAAAACGACCTCCAAGATGATCGATTCCAACCACTAACCCGGCACTGTCACCTTCACCACTAACCTGTGTCCTCAGGTGCCACATCCACACGTTTTCTGATCGCTTCCAGGGTCGCAGCCCCCGCGATGGCCCCGGCGGAGCACGGGGGGCTCCAGGGACCATCTGCCCGCGGCCGTGTCTGGCCGCCGTCAGGTTCCCTTCCCCTAATTGAGCCGAGATCCAGGCCAGGCGCCTCCTAACTGGTTTATACTCCCGGAGCAGCGGGAGAACGTCAGTGCTCGGGGCCGGGGCAGCAGCGTCCCGGCCGGCGGCCCCGGGGCCCGGTAACGGCGGCCGCTCTCCATGGTCCTGAGCAGGCCCTGCCGGTGCCCCGGGGCGGTGGGACCCCGAGCCCCGGCCCAGCCCAGCGACCCTCGGCCCGGGCAGTCCAGGGCTGGGCTGGGGACTCTCTCCAGCCCCCCCCGGCTCCCGCCCCCCCCGGTGCCGCCGCCGCAGGTCGGGTTTCCCCGAGTAAGCGATGCCGGTGCCGGGCGGGGGGGCACGGTGACCCCGTCGGGGTGGGACTGGGGGGGTCTTTCTCCCTCCGAGGAGCTGGAGAGGGGGCGAGAAGGTCCCGGGGGCCAGCGAGGGCAGCTCCGGGGGGCGCGGAGCGCCGGGGGGGGCCGGTCGGGATCGAGGGGTCTCCCACTGAGGTTTGGGGGGACGCGACAGGGAGGGAGGCGTGAAGCACCCCCAGAGCCTCTGACACCGGCTGCCCCGGGCTCGGGGGTCCCGACAGCTCCTCACTGGGTCCCCTGGTGTGTTCCCCGCCCCTCCCAGTCTGAAGACCCCGGGCAGCTCCTCTCCCTCGGGGCGAGGAGCTCTGATGGCTCCGGGCGCGGGGCCGGGGGTGCTCGG